TGAGCTGAGATGCCACAGCACTCTACCCAGGGGAACAGCTTGAGGCTCCTGTCTCATAAAAAAATGGTGTAACCATACCGGAGGATTTCTGTGGCACCCAGAAAGTGTTTTTTATTTTAATAGTTACATATTCATTTTAATATTATGTTTTATTTGTGGCAAGAAACCTATAGGAAGTTTTCCATTTATGGATGTAGTATAAAACATAAATATAAATAAAAAATTAGTTTTAAGAAAAAATAGCATCAGTAAATTGAGGTATGACAAAAATTGTATGCTGTAACAATGAAGATGAAACCTTTACTGTACTCTACTAACTCCATTAGTGTAAATGGTGAAAAGCAGCATTTTATCAGCTTCTACCACTAATATCCACATTTTATTTATTTATTTACTTATTTATTATTGAACCAGAGTCTCCTTTGCCCTGAGTAGAGTGCTGTGGTGTCATAGCTCACCACAACCTCGAGACAAGGGTCTCACTTTGCTCTGGCTGGTCTTAAACTTCTGAGCGTAGACAATTCACCCACCTTGGTCTGCCAGAGTGGTAGGATACAGATATGAGCACCATGCCTGCTGTTAATATTGTGCATAAAACCCTGTGTATGTGTCCTTCTGTATATCTGCATAAGAAATTACAGAGGAGAGTACCCTTATAAGAAATTTCAGAGAACTCTTTTTTATTGTTGCAGAATGTCATACCCAGGCTATCCCCCTACAGGCTACCCACCTTTCCCTGGATATCCTGTAAGTATTGCCACTTATACTAAAATAACTGGTGTCCTTGAAACAGATGTTGTATAGGAGTAACTCAAGACTAACCTTATAGGTGTGCTATACCAGAGGTTGTAAAATCAAATGGCCAGATGTCCTGTGTAGAATAAGTGAATGAAGGTAGTTGTTGTGGGGGAACTCAAGCAGTTGCCTCACCTGTGGCCAGCTGTAGCCTGATGTGGCCATGCAAAGAGGCCAACCCAGTGTTGCCAGATACTCTGAATTTTTTAGGTAAAGCCAGGAACCTGGTTTTATGTAAAACTGCCCCCATTTCTTTTTCTTTTGGTGTAAGTGCTGGGGATTTAACCTAGGGCCTCATGCACCAAATTTCTAAAAATTTAGAAGTTAATTTTTAAAAAGTTAACTGCTAAATAGGCCGTTAAGACATGTATGTAACGAAATCTATCTTGTGAATCACTAGATTATAACCTTTGTGTCAGAAGGTTATTAAAATAATTAAGAAGGGCTTACTTGACTCAGTGAAAAACTGCAGTGGATCAGAGGACCCTGGATTTGTGTTTCTGGGACTTTTATTCTCTTCTGAATTTATTATGGTAGAAGTGAGTACTATGAATATGTTCTCAAGTCCCTGTGTACTAAACTGAACCCTGGCAGTCATTTCAGTCAGTGAAAGCTAGCTGCTGAAACAGATAACCTCCAGATCTCAGTGGCTTAACAGAATAAGAATCTATTTCTTGCTTTCTTCAGTCTCCTGGAAGTCAGTGGTAGGAGTTGGGTAGGAGGAGACTTTCACGCAGTGTTTCAGGTTCCCAGGCTGCTGCTTCATATTGATTTTACCATCCTCTGTCACCTAGTTTTCCACTGGATCCTGTGCTTATGACTGCCAGGTGAAGAAAGGAAGAGGGCAGATGTTTTTAGGGACCAGATTAGATTGGAAGTATTGTACATCACTTCTGTCTATGTTTATTTGCTATTTATCCAATCACGTGGTCCTACATAACTGGAAGGGGGTCAGGGAAATATAATATCTGTAGCTTGTGGCCTGGGGGGAAAGAATTTGACATGTAACTCTTAGACATTTTGTGGTCTAAACTGTGAAATGCAAAATGTCACACCCCGTTTGTGACCCAGGTCACCTTTTCATTTTTTTTTTTTTAATATTATGCAACAGATCTAGGTGTGTTGCAAGAAAGCCAGGAGTCCTCTCTGTAGGGTAGAGAGAAGAAGTTCTTCCTCATGTTTCCAGATGTTAGGAAAATGAAGGAAAGAGCTTTCTTAGTTCCTGCATCCTTGAGGTTTGTAAAGAATCTGTTTGTGACTCACAAATAGAGAAAAGCAAACCCTTTTTGCCTGCCCCAAGTAGAATTAAATTTGAGTTCTGACAAACAAATGTCTTGAAAAACTAGTGTACTGATAAACTAGAATAAGACACCAGGATTTCTAATGGGACTTTTAAAAAATAAAAGAACAAGCTAGGCCTTACTAATAATCTCTGTTCTTATTTTTAGGTGGATCATATTTCTCTGTGATGACATTCATTTAAAATTATTTTCATTTTTCAGCCTGCAGGTCAGGAATCATCTTTTCCCCCTCCAGGCCAGTATCCTTATCCTAGTGGCTTTCCTCCAATGGGAGGAGGTGCTTATCCACAAGTGCCAAGTAGTGCCTACCCAGGAGCTGGAGGCTACCCTGCACCTGGAGGTTATCCAGCCCCTGGAGGCTATCCTGGTGCCCCACAGCCAGGGGGAGCACCATCCTATCCTGGAGGTGAGTTTTGGGTGTGGAATTAGTAATGATTTGGGATTGTAGCACTTTTTCCTTCTCTCCTTGATCCTGTTCATTCCCTGCTTGTTTTGAATGAGGTTAGAGTTGCTCTTAGCTAACCTTTTAGACCAGCGGTTCTCAACCTGTGGGTCACAACCCCACAGGAACTATATTAAAGGGTCACGGCATTAGGAAGGTTGCAAACCACTGTTTTAGACCGTAAGGACTTAGCTGGCAAGATAGAGAAATAAATGTTCTCAGGTGGCATAAAAGCTGGGAGCAATTTCAGAAATTCCATTGTGAAGGGAATTGCAATAAATCTTGTAGTAATAAAGGACTGATATATGTATAACACTCTGAAATCTGTAATATTAAATCATGATTAAGACATTCAGATTAACATAACTGTGACCTTTAGGAGAACTTTTACCAAAGGTTAAAATAAAAAGACTTAGTATTGGGCGGCGCCTGTGGCTCAAAGGAGTAGGGCGCCAGCCCCATATGCTGGAGTGGTGGGTTCAAGACCCAGCCCCGACCAAAAACTGCAAAAAAAAAAAAAAGACTTAGTATTTTTGTATTATAAGTTATTAAGGAAGATGAATATAGTAAAAATTTTAAAAAGTTTGTCTTTTAATAGAGAAAGAGTTGGTGAGAAGTTTTGATTTTGGACAAAAAGGGACTGCTGTTACATCATTAATAGCATATTTTTTCCACTAATAACAGTAGATATGTTTCTGAAGTTACCGCTGCAGTCATGGGGCTGTCACTGTAGTTTATTCAGCTATTCTTTTCTCTAGTTCCTCCAGGCCAAGGATTTGGAGTCCCTCCAGGTGGAGCAGGCTTTTCTGGCTATCCACAGCCACCTTCACAGTCTTATGGTGGTGGTCCAACACAGGTCCCACTTCCTGGTAGGTACCAGGTATCCAGAGAAAAATAGTATCATGATATTTTTAGTTTTTCAATTGCTATCAAGAGAATTTAGTTTATGTTTGAGATGGTAAGTAAATGTTTATGTATCGCTATAAATAATTTTAAATATATGGTTTAATGAAATATATTAACATGATGGAAAAGCTTTATCAGGAAAATGAAGCTAAGGACCCACTTTATTTATTTATTTATTTATTTATTTATTTATTTTGAGACAGTCACATTATAGCACCCTGGGTAGAGTGCCATGGCGTCACAGCTGACAGCAGCCTCAAACTCTTGGGAACAGCGAATTCTCTTGCCTCAGCCTCCCAAGTAGCTGGGACTACAGGCATCCCCCACAACGCCTGGCTATTTTTTTGTTGTTACAGTTGTCATTATTGTTTTAGCTGGCCTGGGCTGGGTTTGAACCCACCAGCCTGGGTGTATGTGGCTGATGTCCTACCCACTGAGCTACAGGTGCATCCAGGACCCACTTTTTCTATTAAAAAAAATGTCCCAAAGCCAGAAGGAAAACCAGGAACTTCTCACTTTGCTGAATCCTGTATCGTGAATGACGTGACCCTGTATTATATCCTGATAACCATTCCAAATGGACTCAGTTTAAGTTTGGTTCAAGTTTAGGAGGAGGGGCAGCACCTGTGGCTCAAATGAGTAGGGCACTGGCCCCATATGCCTCAGGTGGCGGGTTCAAACCCAGCCCTGGCCAAAAAAAAAAAAACGTTTAGGAGGAGAAAGTATTGTTTGTTAGGGTCTTATGTAGAACCTAGAATACTAAAAAGGCTCTTGGCTGAGTGCAGTGGTTTATGCCTGTAATCCTAGCACTTTGGGAGGTCAAAGCAGGATTGCTTGGGGCCAAAAGTTCAAGACTAGCCTGAGTGAGAGTGAGACTCTGTCCCTACAAAAAAATAGTAAAATTAGCCAGGTGTGGTGTTGGGTCCCTGAAGTCCCAGCTACTCAAAAGGGTGAGGCAGGAGGATCGCTTAAGCCTAGGAGTTTGAGGGTCACAGTAAGCTATGATGCTGGTGCTGCACGCTAGGCAAGACAACAGAACAAGAACTTGTCTCCAAAAAAAAAAAATTGGTTTTATAATACAGTAGAACCGTTGACCACTCAAGGGACTGTAACAAATTAGCATATGGAGATGGTTAACATAAGGAACTAGGCTTACTGTGTGGATATGTACATGTTGTATATGTATATGTCCAGTCTATCAAAATTAGTTCAACTTAAGGAGGTGGTCAGTGTAGGGAAGTGGTCAACTATGGATGTTCTACTGTATTTTAAAAATTGATTATAGTCCTATGGGAGGCTGAGGTGGGTGGATCGCCTGAACTCATGAGTTCAAGACCAGCCTGAGCCAGAGTGAGACCTCATCTCTAAAAATAGCCTGGCCTTGTAGTGGGTGCCTGTAGTCTCAGCTACTCAGGGGGCTGAGGCAAGAGAATCACTTGAGCCCAAGAGTTTGAGGTTGCTGTGAGCTGTGCCACTCTACCCAGGGTGACAATGTGAGACTGTCTCAAAAAAAAAAAGATCATAGTGAATATCGCATTGTGAATATTCTCTTGTGTTTTCATATTCATAGTAATCAATGCTCCTTTTAAAAATGAGATTATATAATACCTGTTTGCTGTATTATTTATTTTTTGACACACAGGTGGCTTTCCTGGAGGACAATATCCTGGAGGACAAGCTCCTTACCCTAGTCAGGTATGTTTGCTCCTATTTGGGGGACTTTTTGTTTTTGTTTTTGAGACAGGATCTCATTCTGATACCCAGCCTGGAGTGCAGTGGTACACTCACAGCTCACTGTAACTTTGAACTCTTAAGTTCAAACAATCCTCCCATCACAGCATCCCCATCTACAGGTACATGCTATCATGTCTGGTTAATTTTTAAATGTATTTGTAGACAAAGGGTTTCATTATGTTGACCAAGCTGGTCTCAAACTCCTGGCCTTGAGCAATCCTCCTGTCTCAGCCTCCCAAAATGCTGAGATTAGAGGCATAAACCATCATGACTACCCTACTCCTTACCTTTTAAGTTTAGTCTGGGTCAAAGGATAACACCAAAGAAGGGGCCTACTCCTTTGATGATGTTAGAGATTTCCATGAAGCAGAGGAAATGGTCTATCATAGTAACTTATGACTTTAATCTTTGCTTTTGATAGACCCTATGATCTCTTTGGTCCATCTGTTTTAAATACTGTCCTGATGACAAACATTAGATCTTTCTCACTGGTGATGATGCTCCTACTTTATTCTAGACATTCACATGGGCTCTTGGCATTGGTGTTATACCTCTTCCCTACCTGTGCTAGCAATTATAACTATGAACTTGGGTAACTGGGTGATTGGTATTTCTGGGAATGATTTATGAAGGGTGGTTTTGTTTTCCACTTTTACCTTTATACTTTACTTTCAGATCAATACAGAGTCCTTTCCTTCCTATCCTGTTTTCTCTCCTGTTTCTTTGGATTATGGCAGTGAAGTGAGTAAGGTTTTCTAAAGTTCACTAATCACTAGGTCCCCTATATGTGCTTTCAGTTGTTTCTGATTTCTCACTTATCTATATCTCACCTTTTCCTTTAGGACTCAAATGTATCTCTTTTCTCTCTATGTCCCTGTAGATTGGCAGGGCTTTAAACATGATAGTCATTCAAGTCTGTTGAGTTGATTTCTCAGTAGTCCTACTGGGAAACTTTCTGAGATTCCCATATATCAAATCTTTGCCCTATATTTATATAGCTCCTTAATTTAATAATGTTTAATTCTTAAATTGCCTTGTTAATTTTTTATATCTTATTCAAAGTTACTATGAACATAAGCAGTATATTTTCATGCTAACATTTGTCTTGATTTCCTTGTTGCCTGTCATACTGTATATTTGTAAAGATTTAACATTTTTTTCAAGCTTGTTTTAGTCTGGGCTAGAAGGATTACAGTATTGGAAGAGAAACACCTTAGTGATTTTGGGGATCAAGGGGCTCACTTTCCTGATTTGAGAAATTCGAGTTCCAGAGATACTGAGAAACTTATCTAG